GGCACCATGCACGGAGTTTGTCGAGCTGTTTACAAATCATCCATCGCCACACGAGGTTCAGCGGGAGTACCGCTGCCCTCTCGTGTAATCGTGCTGTTGACACAAAGTCGTCCCACGCCACGCTGTAGACCCAGCGAAGTGTTTTGTTCAGGACGATCTGTAGCTTGCGTCTGTTTGTTTGTGCGGCGAGTGTAAGTGTGAGTGGTGCGTATGTGAGGAGTGGTGTGAGGAGTGCTTTGAGCAGGTGCAGCTTCGTACACGAGGCAGCGCATCTGAATCGATAAAGCGATTGTAAGGTCTTTCTAGCCAATGCGGCTTTTGAAGAGGTATGATAATGAAATCTAAACATGGTGTCAAAAGTGACACCGAGGACGGTGCAAGAGTGTGTTATTTGAAGAGGTGCTTGTAGTCTGTCGAAAGAGTTTAGGTATATTGGATCGTAAGGAGGATTGTGTCGGGTTTATAAAGAGGACTTTTGTTTTTGTCGAGTTAGTTTTGATAAGCCATTTGTGCTCCCATCGAGAGACGGTGTCAAGCTCGTCGTTGATTCGTCGGACGACACCAGCGAGCGAATCGTGTCTAGCTAAGTGCGTGCAGTCGTCAGCGTAAAGTAACGTCAGTGAATCAGGGAAGGTGGGGTCGGAGAGGTCATTAGTGTATAATATGTATAGTGTTGGGCTGATTATGCTGCCTTGAGGTACACCTGCGTGCATATTGATTGTAGAGGAAACTTTGCCTTTAAATTTAAGCTTTAATTTACGGTCATCCAAGAAGCTGCAAAGCAGCTTCTTGGTGCACGAGGGAAAATTGAATTTAGTGCAGATTTTGTACTTCAAGCCAGCATGCCAGACCGTGTCGAAGGCTCGCTCCACGTCTTTGGTCACGAGGACCGTCTTAAGTCGTCTGTCTTTGTTGTTAAGACAGTAGTTAGTCAGTAGGTTCAGTGCGTCAGTAGTCGAGCGGTGAGAGCGAAAGCCAAATTGTTTGGAAGAAAGTAGGTCATGGTCGTCGAGATACCGCCTTAGTCGGGAATTAATGACTTTCAAAAATTTTGCCTAATGTAAACTAATTGGGCGGTAATTCTTGGGGTCAGTGAGGTCTTTGTTTGGCTTAGGTATGAGGGCCACGATAGCAGTCTTAAAGGGAGCAGGAAAGTAGCCAGAAGCAAGAGAGGTATTGTACAGGTGCGTCATAGCTCGTAAAACGTTGTCAGGAAGATGAAGGAGTGCGTCACGCCCGATCTGAGAGGAGCCCGGAGCCTTACGAGGAAACCTTTATTATTTGTTTAATCTCCTCCAGCAAGATGGGAGCACGGAGTTCGCATGTGTCGTCCAGCCTATCCATGTGGATAATTGGCTCTGGCTCTGTTTCTATCCTGTGTTCTTGGCTCCAGGTGTTGATGGATTGAAAATGTTCATTAAAAAAGGGGTGTGGTTCATGAGGATAGAATACAGTTTGCCAGTGATCACGAAAAAAATTTGATAACATCCACGGGATCTGAAACTTGAGTGTTGTCCTTGAGGAGGTGACTGAAGGGAGGGAAGTTACTGCCTTTTAACTGTTTAATCTTTTGCCAAAATTCCCGTGGATTGCGAACTCGCATCGATTCTGTTTGTTTAATCAAATTTTGCCAATGAATTTTGCGGTCATTATCAAAACTATCTATGACATGGTTTCTGAGGATAGTGAGGTCCCACCGAACTCGGTGTAAATTCTGAATATTTTGGAGAAAACGATTCCTGTAGCAGGTCAGGAGACGCTTGGTTCTCTCGCTTGGATGGAATGATTTACGTATTTTGTAACGCTCTCGTGGGATGGACCGGAGCATTGCTGCTGAAATCCAAGCAAAGAGATGATGCCAGTGCCTATCTATTTCGAGAACATTTTCTCTGTCAAGGTTAAAGTCGAAATTTTGATCTGAAAGATAAGATTTAAAATCGTTCCAGTCTGCTTTCTTATACCGGAAGGATGGCGTTTCTTTGTTATGTATAGGTGAGGTGGAAAGTTTTATGATCACGGGTATGTGGTCAGAACCGATGTTCGGACCTGGTTGTAGGTGTGTGTGGTAGGGGAGGGCGGCCCTGTTCCCGAACACGAGATCAGGTCTGCCTTTTCCCCTAGCCGTGATTGTGGTGTGGAAGTCGGGTCCTATGTAATGTAGTCTTTTTGTGTTGAAAATAGACAAGAGCTGCTGTCTACCGTGTGCGTTCGTGGTTGTGTGGTGTAGTGATATGTGTGATGCGTTGACATCCCGGCGAAGAAGACTGGAAGATTATTATAGCTGAATAATTTATTGAAATCTGAAAGTGGCAAGTTTGAATTTGGTCTGATATAGGCCGTGGCAATCATTATAGGGCCCTGCTGGGTGAATAGCTTACAGCCATGAAGTCTGGATGGATGAATGGGGGTGAAATGAATTCGAAATGAAGGGTGGATTTGACGAGGATGCAGGACCCTACGAACCAGCCGTTTCGTGACTGTCTTGACGTGTAGCCGAAGT